AAACAGTAATTTTCTCTCTTAATCCAAATAAATATTAAAATAATAATATTCATATTTACCCTTCATATTTACATGGTGAATTTACTTGAATTAATTCAAATTCATTTATAGAATTATCATATATACATAAATAACAATGACGATAATGTCCAATTCCAACTAATTTACAATCCCTTGAAACAGCAACAAGTGTATCCGAATAATTTAATAACCATTCATCATAGGATTTATCATCATTATCATTGGAACGATCATATATTTTTAATTCCTTTCCGATCCAATTTAAAGAATGATCAATATTAAATGCCTTTTGAATTGTTTGCATTTTTTTTAATTTTAAATAAAAAATAACAATGTAAATAAATGAAGATGATTCCAATATATAATTGAATGATTTGTGTTTGCTCAATTTAATGATCAAATTCAGAAATTTATTCCTCTAAAAAAAACTTCACCCGTTTTGTGTTGCCAGCTGAATCATGATCAGCACTCCAAACAGATGAACAAGTACTAAAACTGATATTATCCGATAATTTATTGGAAACAAAGTTAAAGTACTCCATATTAATTTCCATAAATAGATACAATTCCAGAACTTGCTGGTATTACATATTTAACTACAGTTACAACTAATCAATTAAATAATTTAATAATTGCCATAACTACCAAGAAACAATGTTATGTATTTGATTCAGAATGTAAATCATGGAAACTTAAATTTAAATTACCTTTATTTAGTTCTGTTCAGATTGACAGTCAATTTGAGAATGTTTATATTGGAACAAGAGATTGTATTAAGAAATATTAGATAATGTAACAGACTATTCAAAAGAATCTCCTATTTGGGAAAGTAAGATTAGTTCAAAGTATAAAATGAATTGTGCTAAATCAAAGAATGAAATGTATATCATACATAATATTAATACAATCTATGTAATGGATTTATTGAATGGATCAACAAAAAGAGAAATTAATTTAAATCAATCAGATTATAATAATATTGATGTATTATATGTGGATGAAAAGGAGGGACAGCTAAATTTCCCTCATTAATAATAAGAGAATATGATGAGAATATGAAACCAGACTGTTTGCAATTTTTAAATGGTATTGATTTTGGAAATAAGAAGTTGTGGTTTGTTGATAATGAAATTGCTAAATACTTTGAATTTCAATTTGACTTTGAAAATGAGGTTCCAGATGGTCATGATGATGATATTGTAATCGGAGGAAGTTATGAATTTTTTGACAAATATCAAGTTTGTATCTATGTAAGAAAATCAGAAGTTTCAAATAATTATGATTTTCCAGTATATTTACTTTACAACGAATCAGTCAATGATGATTTTATGAAAACAAAGAGTTTAACATTTTCAGAATTCATTCCAAAATTGAAATTATCTGAATCCGTTGTCATTGAGCATAACTGTTCATATGATTTATGAAGAATTGATTCAAAAATCAATCATTCATCCTCAAACCAAACTTATTGATAATAATATCCTTGTTGAGAAGTATAAGAAAATGGTGTGTGGAGTCGACAAAGAGGATTACTTTGGATTAGCACGAAAATTTAACAGCTCTACAATCAACTTTGATAATACTGTATTTCTAAAGATGGATTGTTGCCTTGGCCATGGATTGTTGTTCTGAAATTTCGTTTTTAAAAACCAAATAAAAGAATAAGAACACGAAAAAATGGTTTAAAAGATAAAAAGACTACAGCACCACAGGTTCCCAAGTTGTCTCCAACCTCAGTACTGATGTGGCTCGACGATGCTTAACTTCTCAAATCGGACGGGATGAGGTGCATTCATCGTGATATGGCCGTAGCCATCAACTACCTTGATTTCTGAAATATAAATCAGTTCACCCTTTGCATGGCTTCAGAACAATAACAAAGAAAGAGATAAAGGATATTACAATGTAATATAATTAGGCCGAAAACAGACCTCTTTTATTCACCAGTGCATACGTATGTTTCTTCAATTGTTCATCTATAACTTTGTGAATTTGTTTACAACCCTCTATTGCATGTTCCAAAACCTTTTCAAATTGATCCAAAGATAATTTCGAATCCATTTGTAATAAAGTGACCTTATCATGTTTTGGAAGAAGAGCAATTGGTACATCTGGACCACCAGCACAATCTTCAATATAATTAAATCTGT